TTGGAAGCCTTCTCCTTCCAGAGGAGTGAGCAAGCAAAGGGGGAGGTCATATTGCAACGCGTGAAGACAAATGGCACCACGGGGCATATGTATTGCAGCAGGATAATCGTGATAAACCTAGACAAAAAGATCACATTATCCGCCTTCACTCATCGTTTCCAATACACATAGCAAACTTAGCAAAGATGTTCACGTTCTACAAACCCCCATGCCGCTGGCACCAGCAGGATTTGTGTCTGTGTCTGAAACAGAAACGCGTCTCGAACTCGGCTCGGTGATCATCGTGTCACATCCCACCTACCCACCGACCGCAGCCCCATGGCTAACTTCGGCCGAGCTCAACCAGACTCGCACGCTTGCCTGGACGTGCCCTGGGCGCCTCAAGTTCAGTAGCTGACCTAGCCCGAGCTCGACCAGTGGCGCACGCTTGCCTGGACGTGCCCCGGGCACCTCAAGTTCAGTAGCTGACCTAGCCCGAGCTCGACCAGTCGCACGCTGCGTGGACGCCCCGGGCTCATTCAATAGCTCCTAACCAGCTCACGCGCGCACGCTGACCTGGGCGCCCCGGGCACCTCAAGTTCAGTGGCTGACCTAGCCCGAGCTCGACCAGTGGCGCACGCTGGCCTGGACGTACCCCCGGGCGGCTCACGTCCCCCAAGCTCAACCAGTGGCGCTCGCTGGCCTGAACGTACCCCCGGCCTCAGGCCCAGCAGCTGGCCTGCCCCGAGCTTGGTGATGTCACACGGCCCGGACGTGCTGCTCGTGCGTGCGTGCTGCCGGGCGTGCTGCCCTCGTCGCTCGGCAGGGCCCAATGGACCGCGCACTGTGCAGTCAGGGGTGTCACTTCATATACTTTCGGCGGGCCCGAGCCCCCAATGCTGACCTACCCCCCCCCCCTACACACACAATGCTCCTCTGAGCTCCCTTACAGCATACAAGCAAAGAGGAAATACTGGGTCAAATCTATTCCTAAACTATTGGTGTGCTAGGTGGCAGGTACCTAATCATATCACTTTTAGGGTCATGCTAATTTGTACCAAATGGTGGCATGTGGGTGCTTAATGTTTTTGCCATGCTAACTCCGTTATATGT